GTTGGTGATTCAATGCTTCAATATAAGAGATTGTTCTCTCAGTTGCAACTGAATCAATTCTGCGCTAAACCCAAGACCAAGAATATTCAGCAAGTAGAGGACAGACAAACGTGCAGCTAAAGATCAATATAATCCCAGTGATAATTGGAGTCTTGAAATTCTTAAACTAGAAAAGGCAGCAGATTGCAGATTCCAGTAACAACATCAGAGATCTCTATCTCTGTTCAGAAGAGTGCACTATCAGGAAAGTTAAGATATGCGTAGAACCTTCAATCTCAGGCCAGGCCACTGGTAGAAGATGATGATCATGACCATCTACGTGGGAGAAAGAAAAATATTTTAATGTATATATATATATATACATATATATATCCCGGAGCAAAATGGTCAAAAAGAAAAGGAAAGAAGGGAACTGCACATAATAAGCTGGGAAGGTAAAGACTGCCTTGCAGCCGCGCAATATCTCCATTGCAAAACAGAGCAACTGAGGCATCTAATCATGAATAAATAATATGACTGCAGTATGCAGGCTGTAATTAACCATCAACCACCGAAATACTACCAATTAGAATGTAAGTAGAGTCCTCGCAACAATTCCTACATAAATATAATTGAAACCAATGAATTGGTGCATCTATAGCCACTTTAAATCTGGAAATACTGGGATAGAATTAAAAAGAATAACGATGCATGTCGATGCTGGAAAATGAGGCTGGAAAATAAGATCAGAGCACAACATAGAAAAGTTAAAAAGTTAATTATAGAAAGGTAAAGAAGACCTGCATACTGGAAAAATGGGAGGAATCGGAAGAAAAGCCCTATTACTGAACAAATGCTCATTATACTGTCCATTAGGACAAAGAGATACACTGGGAAGCAGAAGCTAAAAAAGTAAATGCCCTGTTCTTTCTCCAAAGAACCAGCTTAGATTTACTTTTAACTGGAATGCAAGTATATGGTAACAGATCCACCAACAGTGGGAACTATACAATATTAGAAGAATAAATATGGGAGAAAACGAAGATTCATAATGGCACTAATGCAAAGTGGATGCAAGACCTGAGATAATTCACAGTTAACTGAGATAACTTCAAAGAGCAGCAGCCACTTACTATTTCATTTGCTAGCATCCAACAGCAAAAATTGTTGGACAGCAATTAGTTTACACATGATCTACTACCCACATCTACTAGCGGTTCATGAGCGCTAAGCGAAACAGATCACATGGTAACCAAGATGATGAACCAAGAATATTGCAATATCTAAGTATTACTAAGGTACGACCCGATAACTCCTCGCAGTACACGAAAATTTCCACTCCAAAGCCATCGTCATTGTCTTGAATGAAAGCCTATATATTCAGAAATACATCAAAAAGATAGGATGAGCTGCTAAGATAATGTCTGAAATTTTGCTATAAAAAGACCAGAGAAAGTGCCATGGCAAAGCAAAATCTTCCATGGGATTCGATCGACAGATGCTGCGGCAACTGATATTGACAAATCCTATTATGGCTAAAAGGCACTGAGGCACCAGTATAAGAGCAGGTACTGAGCACCAGATCCATCAAAGCAGAGACGACCACACTCGGTAGGACTCAAATTCGGTAGGACAATTTTGCAAAAACATCTCAGAAATAATCCAGCTTATAGTGGTATAATGTAAAATATAAGCAGGAATAACATAAAGTAAAGAACATAACAATATCTACAGGTGCTGGGTGCATCGCTTCTCTTCTAAGACTAGATAGGAAATTCACTCGTGGAGAATAATAAAAAAGGACCTGTGAGACTTCATCATCCGAACAGATAAAGAGCTACTAGCCAATCAACCAGATATCGTGGTAGCAAGGATCAAAAATTTGCATTGGTGATCGAGATAGCAGTACCAAGTGATTGGAACGCTAGGAAGAAGGAATATAAGAAACCAGGGGCCGAAAGAACTAGAGAACTAGAGGAAACATGGAAAGTGAAAGTCTTTGGAATTATGACCCTTATGGTAGAAAAGTGGCTTTAGCAGATTCCAGGACCAACATCAGAGACCTCTGTCCAAAAAGGCGCACTGTTAGAAACAGCCAAGATAATAAAAATACGCAGAACCCTCTATCTCTCAGGCCTCTATTAGAGAAATTGAGAATGATCATTGCCATCCAATCACAGAAGGGTTTTTATGGACGGGACTTTTTTTATAACGAGTGATAGAAAACCTCTTCAAATTGCTTTAAAATGGGTGCAAATCGATTTTTGCCACGAATTGACGATATAGGATGGTGGTGCCATACAAATAAAAATAATGCCGCTCGCTCTTCTTGGTTTCCTGAAGCACATCCATCTTAATTTATTTTAATAGGCCGTTTTTTTTGAAAATATTCAGTCCACTCGCCACATCGATAGTAATCCTTTCGTTGCTTCGTTCAAGTTCAATCGAGATGAAACATTCGCACACAATTTTAAATCAAATGGCAAATGATAATTTGATATCAGTTTTTTTCAAAAAATATCGGAGCAAACAAAAAAATGGTAATTTTTTAAAAATAACCTTTATAATTTATATGCGAATAATTTTTTAGGCAGAATCAGATGCTTTACTCGATAAACGATTTTTAGTTCACCAGCCTTCAGATCTTGCGCTTCGCTTTGGTAAACGGTAGTTTTCTTCTCATTTTTTTGTTACTTGGTGTTATTTGGCAGGAATTCCAGGGCTGGCACACTTGTTGTTGAGCCATATTTGCACTGAACATGTAGATATTAAAAATAAAATTGCCAGCCATTGAGGAAGCGACTAAGCTATTATCCAATCGTCCAAACATCGATGAGAGATATTGGAATGGATTCTCGAATACCCTAGGACCGTTGATTTCGATCGATTCCAATGAAAATTTATCCCGGTCTTTTGCGTTATTTTAAATAACTCTTATAGTTAATTATGCATTTATAGCTCTCCCCAAGATGCTGAAAAACGGATATACAATGCAAATGATCTCGCTCTCAGATTTGGCAAAAGAGGAGAATTCCACTACGATCCATCGAGTCTCAGTTTAAGGCAAATTCTTTTAAAAAACCACTGAAAGAATAAAAATAAAAATAAAGCAACTCCGAATTAATTTGAAGCCTTAAGCGAAAGAAGCCATTAAAACTGTCGAAAAAGATAAGTTCTCGAACCACCCTTCTGTCACTTTCTCTATTTTTTTATAGCAATTCTATGAATTTTCAATCAAATTAGACTTTTTATTCAAAATTTTATTAAATTTTCATCGAATCATAAATTTCAAATAATATAAATGATCTTTTAAAAAATTGGAGCTAAAATTAATTTTCGTCGAGCTTTATACTTTGTACTAAATGGATCCATTTAATCACCGTGGATCCCCACTGTTTTGCATGCATGATTTAATTTAACTATCTAATTTTACTAGCATTAAATTAAACGTAGTTTCCCATAAAATATTTTCAGATTCGGTAAACGGAATCCAATTTTCGACTTTTGGTTCGGTCCACGTGAAAGAAATCAGTGATTTGTGGATAAGGGAAACAACCAAGTTCCTGATCCATCCATTATATTATTCCATTATATTATCTGTTGTATTCATTTATTTGAATTTAACTTACGATTAACCTTTGAAAACTGACTGACGTTTTCATCTATATGAATGACACCTATTAATCACCTAGGAGACAATAAGAAACTCCAACTTGTCTGTTTTAAGTGGTGCATTAATTGACGAATTGCAAGAAAGGGATGTTTCCAGTAGTTGATAAAAAATATTTAAAAAATTGATTCAAATTTCCGCAAATTTCAAATTTTTTCAAAATTTCAAATTACTGAAAAATTTTTGAAAATTCATTCATGAATCGTATAGAAACTTTATATAAATTATTGTAACATGAAAAAAAAACTTAACAATTATGCAACATTTATATGAATGAAACAATAAATAATAAATAAACTAGGAAAAAACGGCAGGTTAATCACTATCCAAAAAACTGGTGGAAACATTTAAGACGACTCATTTATCACTGCGGACCGTTTACTGATAATGAAATGTAAACAAAACAACCCTAGCAAAGCACGCAATTTCTCTATTTCGAAAATTTCATATCATACCTGGCCCGAAAAAAAAATTAATGGTTAAACTAACGTTTCATAACTAATTAATATAACGGATAAATAATAATAAACAACAACTGAAGAAAAAGGACAAAGCTATGAAACTAGCTATCATTAAAAAGGAAAAACTATGCTAGAATACCAACCTTAAATATTGAAAGCATACTTTCAAAACTCTTAACTTTGTCCAATCATACCAAAAATTAAAAAATGCTGACTTAAAATATAGAACCAAAATTAAAAAAGGAAGGATAACTTGAACTTTGTCTAAATGCCCATCAATAAAAGCTTCTAAACCTTCAATTTATCAATTTCTCTCTTATTTTTTTTTCATTTTTACGAAATCCTTCTATTATTAATTATGCTTGTCTATTCTCTCTATTTTTTTATTCTATTATTTTTGTTCTTTATCATTTATAACTATGCAACTATGCATTAGAAAACTATTTAAAAAAGCTAGGGAAAAAAGCAAAAACCAGTGCAATTATTCATCAAATTAGGCCAAATATTTTCATTATATACCAAATCGCAATAATAAAGTTCAAAATTTTAATGAAAAAGGTTCCTTATATTCCTTAAATCTATATATATTTCTTATATCAATCAAATTTAAAATTCTAATCTCTAAAAAAATATTAAAAAGAGAAAAAACGAAAAATCTTATCAAATATGTGCTATTTACACCATAAACAAGAAAATATACATATTGATTAAAATAAACATTATAAAAAATAATATTGAAATCAACAATAATTCATTATAATCGTTAATTTATGCACATGTGCTAAATCCTCTTTTTTTGAGAGATCACTATCACATAAAACTATCACTTGTCAATTAACGCATAAAATAAATGGAAAATAGGTTATGATGAATAAGTAAACTTTCACCAATCATTTTAAAGACGTACCAACTTCTTTTATGGAAGACAGCGTTTTTTTAAGCCATGCACCGTGCCTATTGTTATCATTATTATCAGTGACAGTGGAATTCATCTGAAACAAATTTAAAAAATTATTGAACAAAATTTCTTTAGGAGAAAAGTTATTTTCAACCTAATATCCCTTTTAATATCTCTACTATAAAAATTGTTCGCTGGAAGCCTTTTGAAACAATAAGATACAATAATAATTAAAATTAGTGTTGCTAAAATTAGTGTTTCTAACCTGATGACTGAGATCTTGATTACGACATTGTGCTTCTACAAGTTCTAGCTTTCGCTGAGCTAATTCCAGCTCAAGGTGTCGGATATGTTTCTCGCGTTCTTCTAATTTATCCATAAGTTCCATCACTTTAAAACCGCAACCATTTTCAGCAACTGGTGAAACCTATAATAGAAAGCTGCTTTAAATAAGATAGATAATGATTTCTAAAAATACAATACAATTATAATTATAATATAAAATATAATATAATATAAAATATAATATGTTATAATATATAATATAATATAATACAATAATAATTTTTTCGTCAGTAAAGGAAATTCGAAAGCGACTAAAAAGAAAATGATAAGTTTTCACTAACATTTTTAGCAGGACTTCCTGTCAGATCCTTAAATTCCGTCAAAATTTCAGCGCATCGTCCACATTGAGAAATTTTCATCTAAAATTTAAAAAGATGAAAAATAGAATGAGAAGCCAAAAAAAAATTCATCGCATAATTTATCAAAAAATAAAAAAATTCATGAATTTATTTTAAAATTGGGAACAAAAACCAAGATAAATAAAAATTCTAAGTAGCATTATCAAATGAGAATCAAAAAATTAAGCATAATCACAATAGCCATAATCAAAAAAAACTGAAAAAGAAAATAAAAATACAAAAAATAAAAAATTAAATAATTAGTGGATGAAATCCTAATTATATTCAGATATTTATCTTAACTTACTGCAATACGTTTTTTCTCTTCCTTGAAAACTCCTTGCTGATTATCAATGCGACGGCTAAGATCAGAACAAATTTGTTTGTAATTTTTAATAATGCCTTGTGAACGAACTAAATCCGATTCTAATCTCTGAACTTCACGACGGCACATTTCTTTAATCTAAAACATGAAATCACATGCAGGAAATGATCGCTTGATAATCTGAAATCAAACCACGAATAAAATTTTATATAAGGGGCGCTAAGAATAAACTAAATTTTGCAACTTTTTTGACTAAAAAATAAACGACCAACTAACAACAACCATTACCAATTTAAAAAAAAAATAGTTGAATCGAATACTTGTTCGTATTCTGCACACAAATTCTTATTCTCTTCCTCTAAATCTTTTGCTGCACGTGAGCAATGTTCCAATTGAGCTTGTAAGCTTTCCACGCTATCTTCAGCCTATAATTTTAGCAATGAAGATGCAAAAAAATAAAGAATCCTACAAAATAGAATAACGAAAAAAATTAACCATTAAATTATGCAACCAATGTTTTTATAAAGATTTCAAAAGCTAAATAAAAATGCCGTAAATAATTTATTTTTGTAAAAAAATATTGGATATCAATAAAATAAAAATAACAGTATCAAGATTCTTCCTCAATTCGATTTTACTGGTTACTAATTCATGAGCTAAATCGTCATTTTCTCTTTCAAGTCGCAATATAGTTTCTTTCAAACGGAGATTTTCACGCTAAAATGAAGATGATAATGGTTATGATGGATGATGATACTCAGTTACACTGATAAAAATCCTTTTTACAAAAAAGCATTACTTCGAGTCTTTCTAACGGATCTTGCGACTCCAATTCGCGCTCCTTTAATGAATAATATTCTTTTTCATATTTCGACAATCGTTTATGACTAATCTTTAAAAATAAAAAAATAATGAATAAAATAGAAGAAATATAAAATAATGCATAGATGCATTTTAAGAAAATTTATTGAGAAGTTTTTCTAAAAAAACATTCGTAAAAATGAATGAAACCTAACGAAATCCAAGTATTTTGATGACAAATAATAAATTGAACAAAAAAAGAGAATAAACCTTTAATTTCACCGCTTGATGAATCAGTTCCTTTGCATTTGCTTCAGTTCGATATTTTCTAGGTAAAATAACACGAAAATATTTTAAAGCACCTTCAAAATCTAATTGCATTAATTCTTTTTTCGATGCCCTTAATAAAGCCAGCGATATGTGAAAAATCGTATTGATTCCCTAAATTGAAAATTGTCAAATAAGTAAACACAGATCTTTTTAAATTATTAAATTATTAAGCAATATAATATTATATATAACTAACATTTTATATATAACTAACATATTTTTAACAATTAACAATTGAACAATAAATTAAGCAAACCTCGCTTAAAAACAGATCGACGATGAAAAATACCATTTGTAATGGAAATTTAGCAGTAAACAAGGTTAAGAACCATTGAGATGCGTACATATGTGTTTCCACGCCAATGTCGTAAAAATGAGTGAACAAATCAGGCACATAATCCTTAAAAAAATGAATAAGACAATAAAACTAGAAAAATATTTGCTCAATATTAATTTCCTTTTTTAACTAATAACTCATATATAACAAAACATTTAAATTTTTACAGGATTTTAGGATAAATTCTAATTGTTCTAATTGTATGAGTAAAACCTCCGTAAGCCTTTGAAGTTGATAAAATCGGAGATGCAAGACGTCCAGTCCAAGCTTGAATAAATCGCGCAAGCCATAATCAAACATTATTTTGACAAGAGTGCAAAACGCTTGTTCTTCTGGCATCTATAGATATTATCCAGCAATAAAATCAATAAATACTACAAATATAAATATACTTTCCCCTTTATTTATAACCGATGTCTTCTTCTTCTTCTAACTGCTCTCACCATTACTGGTTAGGCTGGCTCCAACGGCTACAAGGGTAAGACGCTTCCAAGCGGCGCGGTCTGATGCCATCGTCGACAGTAATGGAAGCCATTCCTTTTTCCACCGTCTAAGTCCATATATTGCTGGTCCACTATACGTTCAAAATCTTTTCTCACCGTATCAGTCCAGGTCTTGATTGGCCCACCTCGCTTTTGACGCCAACCGTCACACGGTTTAGCAAATAACGAAATATGCGTCAACTCGTGTGGTGGACGACGGAGAATGTGCCCTAACCAGCGAAGGCGGCGTTCAGTGGTAACATTATTTATGCAAATGGTATTTGAACGAAGGTGGATGCGATGTAGTGAGATTTTATCCACTCGGCGAACACGTAATATGTACCTTAGATAAGAGTGGTCAAAGGTAGATAACTTCTTAATATCCTCCACTCTCATTGGCCATGTCTAAAGAACCATATAATAAGATCGAACGGATCACGGCAATATAGATGCGGACTTTCGTTTTTATGGTGATTTCACGACGATTCCATAAAGGTTTCGTCAACCGGAAAAACGCATTTCTAGCTGCCGTGATCCAAGTTATAATATCATCTTTTGCCTGTCCATTTGGTATTAGAGTGGACCCAAGGTATTTGAAATCAGGCACTTCCTCAACCGGCAATGAATTTACAAAAAGAGGCTTTTTATCAGCTTCTTGCACATAAGACGAAAAGACTTTCATTTTATTTAAATTGATCCTATTCTGATTCTTGCTGCAGTTTCTGACACGTTATTTAGTATTACTTGCATTTCGTTATAACTGCCAGCAAAAAGGACTACATCATCAGCGTGTTCAAGATCTGTGATACGATGCTCTGGACTCTGGACTAATTCGGACAACTCTTGAGTGCCGACAAGCAGTGTCCATTATCCAGTCTATCGCATAGTTGAATATTGTGGGGGAAAGGACGCAGCCCTGACGGACACCTGTTCTTATTTCGAAGGAATCTGTCACCTCCCCATATACACAGACCTGCGCCGATGTGCGCTCATAAAATGCCTTTATGAGTCTAATGATTTTCTCTGGAACACCATCACGTTCCATCACCCTCCAAAGCGCCGCTCTATCAATTGAATCAAAAGCAGCCGCAAAGTCGATGAAACACGTGACAGTAGGTTGCAAATATTTGAAGCAATGTTCCAACACCCTTCTTAACGTGAATATCTGGTCAGCACAATCGCGCCCTGGTCTGAAACTAGCTTGATTAGGGCGCATCCTGGTGTCCCGTACTTCCATAAGTCTGTTGAATAGCAGGGAAGCGAAAATTTTTGATAAATAGGCTGATTCCTCGATAATTATCGCAGTATGTCCTATCAACTTTCTTGA